GAGACCGTCGGCTGATTTTCAAGGGCTGAATACATGCATAGATGACCCGGTGGCCATTGTAGCGTCAGAAGGGCATTCAGGTGAGTAGATACCTGGTCTGAAAACACTTGAGATCACCGCCCAACTGAATAATGAGGTTAGTTTTGGTCCTTTATCTGATAAGTTTCTCCTCTACTTGGGTTGGGACTTTCTAATAAGGAGGGAGAGGCGTGCAGTTCTAGAGCTGGAGAAGTGAATGGTTGGGGAGCCAGGTTAAAAAGGAAACTTTCTGAGGAGTGTGACAGGATTGAGCATTGACAGAGGGTATACGACGTAAAGAGGAGCTTCGGTTCAAGGTGCGATAGGGGTTGAGGTTGAAGGAGGGGGAGTGAAAGTCTAGGAAGAAGTGGGGGAAAGTAAAAGGGAGGGAGAAGAGGTGGCAGAAGGGATTGAAAGGGACAAAATTTAGAAGGAAACATCAATAAGATGAGGGTGAACATCGAGCACTTAGTGAATTGACCAGTGTAGGTGGACAGTCATTGGGGCTATTCTTCTTGGGTGGTGAGGAAGGCAATCGAACAATTTGAAAAAAACAGAAGGGAATAATATAATAAAAAGTGAGTTATTGGGGAAGGGGAGGAGCTGTCGGAGGAACAAGAAGAGATGGAAGAAGGAATTGTAGATGAATAATAAAGGGAGTCATTTGAAAAAACAAAACAAGAAAAAGTCTTAGGGGAAGGGGGGTGAGGAGTGGGAGAAAGTAGAAGGGAAGGAAGAGGATTTGGTGGAAAAAGAGTGAAGGGGGCTGTTAGAAGGAAAAGAGAGGACTGAGGAGCGGCGGTGGGGTTGACACTGGAAATGAGAATGCTATATTGGAATGTTAAGGGTTTAAGAGATGGAAGAAGGGTTTTTGACTCTCTGTCCTCCTTTGAGATATTACCAGAGGATGGTTTTGGGTGGAAAATTCTTCAATAGTTAAAACCCCATCTGTCTTAAATTGGATTACCTCCTGATGGAAGCAAGTAAAAGCTGAATTTCAATGGGTGTAGTAGGGGTAATCCAGGCCAATCAGGTATTGGAGCGACCCTCAGAGCTTGTTATGGTTTTATTTTGGCCATCTTTTCATGTCCTTTTAGGGGCCATTATTTGGTATAATGGTAAAATCTTGGGTTGTCAAACATGACAACACAGGTTTGAATCTGGGAGCAACCACTATGTGAAAAAATGCCAAAGGTTGTGACTATACCCAATCCACCCCTCCCAAGACCCCGGATAGCTGTGAGATCTTTTCCTTAAACTCTGTAAAGGCAGAGCTGCCAACCACTTTTCAAGGGTTGAGATTAGCCAAAGGTCTTGATTATAGAGACATAGAATTATAATGTAATTATGTTATGGTGATTAAGTGGCTGGAAGATGAGGAGAAAGATCTATTTATGAAGGCAATAGAAATGCCAAAAAAGAACAGGATTATAAATGTAATATGGACACAAAGATCAGCAAATGGATTGGCTGATACTTTGGCAAAAAGAGGGTTAACTGGGGGCAACTTTTTTGGGGAAAGATGGGTTAATGTTGTAAAACCAGATTAACTCTTGGTTATGGTGGCTTTGTCAGCAAACAAATTGCTGGGATGCATGGCATCCCTTGTAACTATTTCTTCTCTTTAATAAATTGATGTTGCTTATCAAAAAAAGATAGAGAAAAACTATAATAAATTGAGATATTCACATAATTGGACAATCATAATTAGTTGTTGAATGTAGGGAAAATTATAAATAAAGGGGAAAGTTATAGTTCTAGAAACAGACATGAGAATTATAATAATCTTCATATCCTTCTTTAAGTGAAATGCCATCTCAGGTTTACTGCATTTATGTCCATAACTCTATATCTGTATCTGTTTTTAGGTCTTTTAATTTATTTCAAATGTTCTTTTTCTTTTTCAGTTTTTGAAGTTGTTCTGGGTACTGATGATGAAAACATTTCTCTCCCTTCAAATGGACCAACAAATGGTGAATGGGAGGGGGGGTCAGTGGGTTGCCCTCGAGACCTTTCTATTTTACATTTTTTAAGCTGCCAATAAAATTTTTGTTATTTTTTATTGTACAAGCAGAATATATTAAAAGTAAAAAAGAGTTATGCAAGAAGTAATGGGCAAAGAGCCTAGCAAATTGAAAAGAAAACAAAGAAAGAAAAATCTAGGTCATGGATGGCAAACAAAGAGAACTAGTTTTGCACCTCACAATCCTATACACAAACTGCTAATAGCAAGCAAATGGTTTATTGTATTGCCTTACTATCAAGAGGATGACGTACCCTTGCAAATACATACACAATAAAGGAGAGTATATCCTGTTTGTTCCACAAAAACATGTACAAGAACAAATATGCCATTTTAAGGTCTACTAAGAAAAGTCAGAATTGTGTATGATATTTAGCATAGGGTTCATTCTAGATTCAACCAAGTGAAACCTGACAATAGTGGAATCAGCCACTTTAAGGTAGCCTTCTACAGTGATTTAATGGGCGCACAGGTGAGGTGCATTTTAGGGTGCACCTTGCCTGGGTACTAGGCACAGCTCTTTCAAAAGGTGCAACCATGGTTTAAAATGTCCCTAATTTCCCTAATATTTCCACGACATATTTCCATTTCCAAGGGTAGTGACACGAAATTTTACTGGAACTGACATTTCCCCAATGAACACTACCAACACTATGTGGAATACAAGAGATAGTTTCCACAAATACTTCCATTTCCACTTCCGTGGGTAGCAACATGAAATTTTACTGGAATTTACATATTCCCCATTGAACACTACCAATACTATGTGGAGTACAAGAGATAGTATTATAACATAAGTTGGTGACAATATTGCAGGTATGTGAAGTAGCAAGTTATTGTCCATCTAACTTATATGATTGCCACTTTGAGCTAACTCAATATTCATTTCAAATGTAAAGTTAAATATTAGTTTTTGTTTGTGTAATAGATTATTTGGTTAATCTATTACAACCATTTACATTTTCTATGAGTTTAAATTTTTCTTTAACTCATTCTATCATTAAGCTCTGAATCTTAAGGTTTATAGGGCAACTTTTAAAACATATTCTTTTGTCTATAACCTTAGTTTCTTAGCTTTGTTTAATGATTTAGAATAAGATAATAATTTAAAAAGGTTTGCCTATGCTTCTTTTATTATGTCATAAAATACCATTCTATATTTTGCGCATTTTACAATCTTTCCACCTTATCTATAATTTTTACAATATTTTTGTACGATATTTCCGACATTTCTGACATGTTTCATATATTTGGATGACCGACATTTCCACCGACATCAACATTTCAAACCTTGGGTGCACCTAGATGCGCCTTGCGCCTTAGTCCAGGCATGTGCCTTTTAAAAATTTCACGCTTTTTTGAACCTAGGGCAACTTTTAAAACATATTCTTTTGTCTATAACCTTAGTTTCTTAGCTTTGTTTATTGATTTAGAATAAGAYAATAATTTAAAAAGGTGTGCCTATGCTTCTTTTATTATTTCATAAAATACCATTCTATATTTTGCACATTTTAAAATCTTTCCACTATATCTATAATTTTTACAATATTTCCATACGATATTCCCRACATTTCTAACATGTTTCTTATATTTGGATGACCGACATTTCCACYGACATCAACATTTCAAACCTTGGGTGCACCTAGATGCGCCTTGCGCCTTAGTCCAGGCATGTGCCTTTTRAAAATTTCACGCTTTTTTGAACCTAGGGCAACTTTTAAAACATATTCTTTTGTCTATAACCTTAGTTTCTTAGCTTTGTTTATTGATTTAGAATAAGATAATAATTTAAAAAGGTGTGCCTATGCTTCTTTTATTATTTCATAAAATACCATTCTATATTTTGCACATTTTAAAATCTTTCCACTATATCTATAATTTTTACAATATTTCCATACGATATTCCCRACATTTCTAACATGTTTCTTATATTTGGATGACCGACATTTCCACTGACATCAACATTTCAAACCTTGGGTGCACCTAGATGCACCTTGCGACTCAGTCCAAGCATGTACCTTTTGAAAATTTCACGCCTTTTTTGCTTTTTTTGAACCTAGCGGCTGGTCCAAGGGTGGAGCCCTCGGACCCCAGCCACACCCCTCGAGGCAAAACCCTAACGTGGACTTGTTTGGACTTGCCTTGAGGGGTGTGGTACAAACGTGGCATGTAGAATCAGGAATGCAATATGTTTTACATTCACATTAGCTACTTGAAGAGAAAAGGAGATTGTGGGTTTTACATGCTTGAAAATGCTTTATATGTTTGATTTTATTTTTAAATTTTCATTTGAATATGTTTTACATGTTATGCTAATGTATTCTAATTTTAGATAATAGGTTTTTTAAAAATTTATTTTAAAAATTAAGTTTATATTTTTTTATTAATATTATGTTTAACATTTTTTGCATTTTTTTTAATTTTCTGACACTTTTTATTCTTTTAGCATTTTTTGTTTAATTTTGCGCCTTGCTTCAAAAAGGTGCACGCCTCGAGCACAAATTTCCCCTTGCACTTTTAAAACATTGGTCTTCTATGGTAAAAAAATGAAAAGAAAACAGGGGAAGTTGGAAAGTAAAGAAAATATGACAATTAAGATTAAAATGTGTTTTGGGTTGTGCTAAATTATCATTCATCAATCCCATGTAGCCTATAGAGTAGAGAACAAAAATGAAAAATATTCCTCATCATTCTTCTTTCTCTCTCTAAGGAAGAAGCTTTGCTATTCCAATTTCAGCTTTGATGACTAAGTAGTTGAAGGGTTGAAGAGAATATGAGTAAATCTTAGAGCTTTCTTTTTCTTTATGAATTTATTAGTTCTTTACAAATTTTTAGTAATCATTGTTTTAGGCAACAGTTTTTTTATATTTCCTTTCCCCCCCCTTTTTTTTTTGTGTGTTTTTTTGGGGGGGGGGGTCTCAGACTTTTCCTGATAGATGCTCTTTTTTCCTCTATGAAGGTTTTGAAGAATGGAGTGCGGTTGTCATGGAGTCTATCATGCACTTTGGGTTGGCCTGCTATAGGCACAATTGCTTTTGTTTCCCCCATTCAAGTTCAATCCTTAGATGCACTTTCAAAAGGAACTAATAAGTTGCTTGAGTCGACTAATACCACAGTTTCTCATCTCTCACTCTACAACTGCAAGGATCTATATTTGGAATTGATTTCATCTATGAATAGATTAACAATGGAGCATGACAAGCCATATAATTATCCATCAGAGATGAACCACAATCAACTTGAAAATGGAAATATTTCATCCCCCAAGACACCATTGCTCCACCAGCAAAAACTTAATTCTCCCGTTTCTAGTCGACTGCTTTCAGAAAGATGCCAAGAATCTGTGCCAAGTCTAAATAATTCAAAGGGAAAGGCTTTTACTTCATATGATATAACAGTATCACTTGATGATAAAATGACAAGGGAACTCTGGCAGAGCTGTGCTGTTCGTTGGCTACGTACTCGAAATTTACTCCCTGGGAATCTTGTCACCATCCCAATACATGGGGAAATGTTCATTTTCCGTGTGGAAGGTACAAATGATTTATTGGAGGAATGCCCTGACCATAACTTGTCTGATGAAGGAAAACATGATTTATTTCGTCAAACCTCAACTTCGGTGGTTGATGTGAATGTTGCTTTTGTGGACTGTAATACGAAAGTACATTTACGTTCATCATTGACATCAGCAGTTGAAACTCGAGAAAAAATAAGTTTTCCACAACAAATATTTGAAGGCAATAAATTCAAAGTTAATATGACAATCAATCTTCCAAAATTGGGGGGTTTGTCTAAAGAATGTGCTATTTTAAAGGAAATTATTCTCTCCTCATCAGTGAAGGACATTCTATCAAGGTTAGTATATTGTGCTTCATTGTTCACTTGATAATATATTCATTGTTTGTGATCACATATTTTTTTGTTTTTTTTTTAATTCACATTTTTTTGTTCCACTCTGCTGAAAGTGAGATTTCATCTTAATTAATTTATTTGTTCAGGAAGTTAAATCATTTGTTGAATGATCAATTGCTCATGCCCTGCTCATGATTCATTTATAGAAGCCTCTGTAATTGCCAATTATCAATAGTGTTTGCATTGTACTTTTCTGTTTTTTTTTTTCTAAATTTTGTTACAAGTTAATCACCCAGAACAGTAGTGTTTAGCTGTGTGTGTGTGGGGGGGGGGGGGGTTTCTTTTGATTACTGAGATGGCATTATGTTAAAGTTTCAAAACTGGGATGAAAACAATGAAACATAATAAAAACTTTCTGTGCTTAAAGAGAACATACCATGTATAACTACTTATATGGTTATATATTGCCAAACATCAAAAATAAAATTAAAGCCTAATGTCTTGTAAACTTGTTGTATTCAGCCATTTAAATTCCTTCAAAGTCTTTGCCCAGCTGATGAAATTTTTTCAATTTTAATAGGGCCTTCACCTGCTACTCCACTGTTTAGACTGCTTTGGTAACTACTTATATGGTTATATATTGCCAAACATCAAAAATAAAATTAAARCCTAATGTCTTGTAAACTTGTTGTATTCAGCCATTTAAATTCCTTCAAAGTCTTTGCCCAGCTGATGATTTTTTTTTCAATTTTAATAGGGCCTTCACCTGCTACTCCACGTTTAGACTGCTTTGGTAACTAGGTCACAGATCAGATGGTTCAAAAAATGTGTTGACCCAGTGACCTGTGACATTATACCAAAATATATTATAAATTATATGATATTAAGTTTATTAACATTAATGTAATAGTAGCTTGATGGGGCTGACAAGCATGAGAATATGGGTTTGACTCTGAGAGTCACCATTTTGTGCAGCAATGTGCCTAAGGTCTATACCCAGTCCAGCAAAGTCTACCTCTCCCAAGACTCCAAATAGTTGGGATTAACATGGTCAGATAGAAAGAGAGAGATGTAGAGAGTAAGAGAGAGAGGGAGGGAGGGATCTTTTGCTAACTATCATTTAGGAAAAAATGCACAAACTAGCATGTGAGCTAAATGGCTTCTATACTAACTTTAAATGAAGTGTAGGTTCAAATCCCCTCAATGTTGTTTTTAGTAACAACAGTAAATACAATTGGCCCGAGCGGTTCATGGGCTTCAATTTATTAATGCTTTCACAATCCCAACCAATTTAGACCAGAGCTTAAATGAAGGTTCCCTGGTTCCAAAGACATTTTGCAGTTATGGGACTCCCATTTGATTTTTGGTGGAACTTATTGTTTATGTCAAACGCAGGTTAAAATCAAATAGTGGAGAAAACATATGATTTAATATGATAGTAAATAGATTTCATTATGCCCATACTTACATTCTGTAATTTTTAATTCAGTGGTATAATCAATACTAACACCCATTACTACTGTAAGTACTTCAGTTTAGGTTTACGCACTACAAAGGGAGTACTTCTTCATGGACCTCCAGGAACTGGAAAGACATCTTTGGCCCATGCATGTGCTTGTGATGCTGGTGTAAACCTCTTTTCTGTAAATGGACCTGAGATTGTGAGTCAATACTATGGAGAAAGTGAGAAAGCATTGCATGAAGTCTTTGATTCAGCTAGCCAAGCTGCTCCTGCTGTGGTTAGATACTCCTTTTCTCATTTCACCTTAAAATGGCCTTTTTTATTTTTCCCTTTTCACACACACACACACACACACACACACACACACATACAGATATAGATATAGATAGTTGGATAAAGTATACAAGCATTATGAAATGTTTACTTAATGATCCAACCATAGTTTTCAAGGCGCCAAGGTGAGGCTAGGTGACAGGGGTGTGCCTTGTCGCCTAGGCGACACCTAGGCGATGGATTTTTTTAAGTAAAACCATATATCCTAGGGTACTTCCCTAGGTTCCATAACCATCTTTCCTTAATAATTATTCATAATTTTCATAAGAGAAGAATAAATTTCATGTTTAAGTCTAGAAAATCAACATTTTATGAGAAGAAAAAGAACAAAGGAAAGAAAATTCAAAAAATATAGTGGCTGAACCCCTACTTTTGTTATAGGAAAGAAGAAA